TTAAAAATGTCATATATTTTTTTTATACAAATTGTAATTTATAAATGAGATATAATAATTATTTTTACATTAATTTATTATTTAACTAAAAAAAAACTGAAAATTTGAAATATTGACTGCTATGATGTTGAGACGCATATGTTTTGTTTAAAAAAAATTGACAATATGTATGAAAAACCCGATGAACCTTTTTAAATATCAAGAAAATAATTTATCTTTAGATAATATGCATTCAAAAAAATGTATAATAAAATTTGTAGCTTTCAACCCTCATTACATGAAACGAATTATGTACTTAGAAAGTATTGTGTATGATCAAGTGATCAACCAAAAAAATATGCACTTTGCATTGAAATCAGAGCCCTAGTTATAGTATGTAGTTGATTGTGTTATTTAACATTTTTTGTTGTTGTGATAAATGTTCAATTTGTGTGGTTTAATCTTAGATCAGACTAGTACAATATACTAATATATTATAATTTATAATCTAAGAGTTTAATAGTAAATTTGGTACCTATATGTCTATATAGTATATAGTTGAAAAAAATTACAACTAATGAATATTTTTTTTATAGAATAATACTATACAATTGTATATTTGTCATACTGTGTTTTATAAATTATGGTTTAAGTATATAGAAATTAGAATCATGAATAATATGGGTTATTATTATTATATGTATTAATTAATAAAGGTAATTATAATATTGTTTATTCTAACATACTAACATAATATTTAACTTTCTATTAGAAAATTTAACATATTATCTGATATTTGTATTGAAATGTTTTAATACTAATTATGCCTATATGTGTAGTGAATTTTTTGTTGTTTTGATAAATGTTTAATTTATGTGGCTTAATATTATACTTGGTAATTCAGAGGCGCCGAAAGTTGGTTTTGGCTATGACAGATGTTATTGGTAAATTAATGGGTGGGTAGGTGCCTCTTGGACCCCACTCCTCTCAAATACAGCCTTGGCTACTCTGTTTTGAAGAGTATCATACGTGAGTGGGTCCAGTAGGTGGTTGTATTGACTCAAAATAAAATTTCTAGTAGGTGATTCAACTGTACATCGGCGCCCCTGCTTGGTATGTACATTTTAAACAAATTACAACTTATGAATATTTTTTATAGAATAATACTTCAGAACCAATTAAAGAAGCCATAAATAGAAGTTTAATGTCAAAAAATGCAAAGTATACACCGGCAATTAGGTCTTTTGCACTTACTTTACAATTTTATTCGGCAAAAGCATATTCTTTTGTTAGAAAAACTTTTAACAAACTATTGTCACACCCTGCTACATTAAAAAAATGGTATTCTGTGATTGAAGGAGAACYCGGATTTACACATGAAGCTTTTATTGCTATAAAGACAAAAGTATTACAATCATCTCAACCAATTCTTTGCAATATTGTAATAGACGAAATGGCTATAAGAAAACAAATATCTTTTTTAAACGGACAATTTTATGGTGGAGTTAATTTAGGTACTGGTCATGAAAATTGTGATTCAGACAACATCCAAGAAGCCACCAATGCATTAGTTTTTATGGCTGTTGGTATAAATGGTCATTGGAAGGTTCCAGTTGGTTACTTTTTGATCCATAGTTTTTCTGGAACTGAAAGGGCAAACTTATTAACTAAATGTCTTGAATTGATTGCAGACACTGGAGCCAAATGTTTTTCTATAACTTTTGATGGAGCACCATCTAATTTATCAATGTGTAAATCTTTAGGAGCCAACTTTGACTTTTTCTCTCAAGACTTTAWACCCTGGTTCCATAATCCAGCATATCCTGAAAAAGAGAATGAACGTATTTATATATTTTGGGATGCATGCCATATGATAAAACTTATAAGAAACACATTAGGAGACAAAAAAGTATTAATTAACAATGAAGGCAGTACAATAAAATGGGATTATATTAAAGAACTTCAGAATATACAAGAATCTAAAGGCCTGCATGCTGCAAATAAGTTAAAGAAAACTCATATTAGTTATTATGAAAACAAAATGAATGTGCGTTTAGCAGTACAAACATTAAGTGCAAGTGTTTCTTCTGGATTACTCTTCTGCGAAGAACTTAAATTGCTATCAGGCTCAAAACCAACATCTGAATTTTGCAAAATGTTTAATGATGCCTTTGATATTCTCAACTGTAGAAATAGGTTAGCAAAAGGGGACTATGATTTTCCAACTGAAGAAAAAACAATATTTAAAATTAAAACTTTTATAGAAAAATTCACATTGTATGTTAAAGGGCTAAAATTTGAGCCATCAAACAATTATTCTGAAAGTCAGCAAATTCTTATAAGTCAAAGGAAAACTGGATTCTTAGGGTTAATAATATGTTTAAATAATTTAATACATTTATATGAGGTAGTAAAAAAAAATGGAATGAGTTACTTACTTAGTTATAAGCTCAGCCAGGACCACCTTGAAGTTTTCTTTAGTGCGTTAAGAAGTCGGGGTGGATTTAACAATAACCCGAATGCCATTCAATTCAAATCAGCATATAAAAGATTATTAGTGAGACATCAAGTAAGTGGTTCTGAATATGGCAATTGTTCAACAATAGATACTGAAAGTATACTATTTGTAAGTGCAAGCCAAAAGAAAAGTGCAGATGCAATTTACAATGATACAAATTTAGAGGAAAATAATAGTATATTTAATGAATACGATCACGATTATGATTACCGTGTACCTGAATTGGAAGAATTTGTTGTGGACATTGTGAAATATACAAGTGGCTTCATAGTACGTAAAATAAAAAAAAATAAAAACATATGTAGTGTCTGTGATTCATTTTTGATAGATTTAAATGATAAAAATGCATCTGTTCTTCTTAAATTAAAAACCAAAGGCCTACTTATAAATGTTTCATCCGATGTTCATAAAGTTTGTTTAATTTCAGAATACATAATTAGAATGAATACTGAGAATTTGCTTACTAAAAAAAACATAAAACTGATATTGATAGTAAAAACAATGAATGAAGTATGCTCAGACCCTACATTATTTAACAGTATTGAAATGAAAAATCATATTTTAAATCAGGACCCATTTGATAATCATCGAAGTCAGTTACTAAAACTAATTATTGATTATTATATTACTTTGAGATTAAATCATTTCGCAAAGATGCATACCTTATCCATAACTGGCAAAAATATACGAAGAAATTATACAAAATTGATTTTATTTAAAAATCAGTAGTTATTTTRAATTCATATTGTATTATTATAATTATGACTGGCGATCGACGATTTTTCCTATTATTTTATAATAAATAAAACAATTTTGTTATGTTAAATGTTAAAAATAATTATTTTAAGTATTTTAATTTGTATAATGTATTAAGTATAATAAAAATTATAACATAATTTATAAACAACAAGTTTTCTAATATTTAACTTCTTGAACAACAGTATTTTAAGCTTGCTTGTTTCWTGTAGTTCTAAAGCATGATGCATTGTATAGTTTATTCACATAATAATAATATTTTACTGTATTAGTTTATCTTATTTAGTATAAAAATGTATTAATTTTACATAAACTATTATTACAAAATACAAATTAACTTTGACATTTTATGCATTTTGCTTAGTGAACAACATTTTTATTTATATAAGATACAATTCAATCAAGTTTAAATTGTATAATATGTAATTTCAAATTTACTTATTTACATAGTATCTTTTATAAAGGATTTTATACCGTATAAAATGTGTGTAATACGGTTATACTATACGGTAATACTACAAAAAATTAACATACTATACTTACTTAAGTCTTATGCTAGCTCTACACTCTCGCCGAGGCAACGCGAGCACGAGAGTGTAGTCGGTTCACTCGTGTCGTCTCGTCTCATCTCGCCTTGCCTCGTGCGTGCTCCGTTCGGTGTCGGTTTTTTTGTCGCGAGTCAAAGGACACGTGCCACGAGGCRAGGCTTATCAACTACATTCTCGCGCTGTCTCGTGCTTGTCTGGTTTGAAAACAGCCGTTTAATATTGGTTTATTTATTTATTGTTTAGTCATTTACATGATAAAAATTTTTTTCGTTCAATAATTTATTAAAATGTCTGACTGGACTAACGAAGATRCAATTGCATTTATGGAGCTTTATCAAACTAAACCTATTTTATGGGATCCAAAGCATCGTTGGCATAAAGATAAGGCCAAAGTAAATGATGCTTGAGTCGAAATTAGTAATGTGKTCAACAAACCAATTGTTGGTACGAGGCGACACGAGACTACACGAGAGTGTAGAGTGTGCATTCGTGCGGTGCCTCGCCTCGCRTTAACTCGACAAGACTCTCGACGGGGCGACCTCGCGAGAGTGTAGAGCAAACATTAAATACAAATTATGCCATTACGCGTATAATACACGAAAAAATAAAATAAAATATCGTAATACCGTATTCTCATTTYTGTCATTTCTGATATCTGATTCCTCAGCTGGTAAATATGCGACGATTAACCTCGCGCATGCGGATATCGAGCACCTAATCAAGAGACTCGTCGATGATATTGGCAACAAAAAAATACGCCGTCGCTCCATCCATAGTATATGATCTAAGATTACAACTCACATGTACACGTTTAACAAAATATTCAAATATGAAGAAAACAAAAACGGTAACTCAATGCACACCCGAGTCAACAGTTGTTTGTAAATGCTCGTATGAATGTAAAAAATTGACTATTAAGGTGGGAACAGACTATTGTCACGTCACGTGAGTAGGGATGGCACCGATATATCGATATATATCGATATATCGATATTTTTATATCGATATTTACTTGTCGATAATATCGGTACATCGATATTTTCTCTTCTACATTATCGGTATATCGATATTTTATCAATTGGTACGACTGTACGAGCCGATACGTCATACGTGATACGTATCGGTTTTGTTTCTTTGAAAATCTAGAATCTCTTTTTTTCATGGTGGTGATACTGTCGATAAAAGATAATAATTAGTTTATCAAATTATCGCCACCGACTCGGCGACAATATTACCGCCAACAAATGCCGATTGATAATGACTACTGACTATAGTACGAGTAGTTTATAGCCTTATAGGTTAATAAAATTTTTATTAGTTTATTGTTTATTGTTTATTACACTTTTTAAAAGTTGTGTCTTACTGTCTTGTGTGTTTGCCGTGTTTGGTGATATACTGATATTTGAACAATGGGCTCAATGGCCCCTCCCAGTAAATTGTGGAAAACATTTACTAAAATAAACCAAATATCGGCTAAGTGTAATTTATGCAACCAAATCATAAAAACCAGTGGAAATACGTCAAATCTTAAAGCACATCTCGAAAAGCATACCAAGAAGAACGTGGATGAAACCGAAGGCACAACCAAGAAAAAACAGGTTGCGATTTCAAGCTTTGTGTCTTGTAGCCAAAATAGTAGCCAGGTCCAGGAATACGGAAAACGAAAAAAATCTAGTTTGGACAATGTGGTTGATGATCCAGACGATCCAGATGAGGTAATTTTACTTATAGGTTTTAAAATTTAGCAGATTGGGATAGTATCCTGACAAAATGGCTATAGATTATATAATATTCTAAGACTTTTTTTTAACTTTTACCATTTAGATTTGTAGCGTCACAAGTGATACACATGGACATGGTGTTGTTGCTGAACCGTCAAGCATATGTATTCCTAAACAACAAAATATTGACAAAATGTTTGGCCAGATATCATCAATAGCTGGTAAGTTATTCAATGAATGATAAATTTGTGAGCTAATGCTTGTTTTTTTGAATCTCATACATTTTTAGAAAGGTTGTTCTATACACACAAATATTTTATGTTATTTGTAAATGCTGCTTATACTTCTAATTTTCCTCAACTTGGCATTATAAATAATTTATACAAAATATAAATAGCTTACACAATTCTAAATKTAAAAAAAGTTTGTCTATACAAAATGTATATATTTATTACTTTAAACTATAACTATATGAATATTTTGTTATAAATTACACTTAAGTAATATTAATTTATTTTTATAGTTGGCGGTTCCCAATATCACCGTATAAATGAATCAATTGCTTATTATATCTGTAAAGATAATAAGCCATTTTCTACTGTTGAGGGAAAGGGATTTCTTCATATGATGAAACAAGTATGTCCATTATACAAAGTTCCCTCAAGAAATACAATGAAAAATATTATAGACCAAAAGTATTCCATTGTTGAAACGCGATTTCGTTTAGCATTGCAAGATATTAATTATTTTTCACTGACAACTGATATTTGGACTGATACCCAACAGATGAAGAGTTTTCTTGGTTTAACTATACATTTTTTGGAAAACCAATCTTTACAATCTGGTTTGTGTATTATCTTTCATTAATTTAAATATTTAACTTGCAAAATGTACCAATAACAAAAACAATCTTTGTTTAACAGGTACTTTTGGAGTCATTGAACTTAATCAATCACACACTGCCGAGTACATATCCAGAGAAATATCAAATTGTTTAAATAGATGGAGTGTTGACAAATCAAAAATTGTAGGAATTACTAGCGATAATGGGGCAAACATGGTGAAAGCAGCTAAAGAATTATTTGGTGTTGAAAAACACATTCCATGTTTTGCACACACAATCAATCTTGTGGTTGAAAACATAATAAAAAACACTGATTCGTTATTAAATCTCTTATCAAAAGTGCGAGAAGTTGTAAAATATTTTAAACGCAGTACACATGCTAGTGATCAGCTTAGGAAAAGGCAAATTGACGAAGGTAAACATTATTTTAATGAACATTTATATTATTAGCTTACATTATGATTATCCTAATTTTTATGTAACATTAATTTTAGGAAAAAAAGAAGGGAATTGCAAAAAACTAATTTTAGACGTCAGCACGCGTTGGAACAGTGTATATTACATGGTGCAACGGTTTCTAGAATTGTCTTCAATAATATCTGATATATTACTACATCGTCCATCTGCACCTTCAATGCCTTCCGCCATCAACCTTCAAGAACTTCAAGGTGTCCTAGTAGTACTGCGACCATTTGAAAACGTTACTTTAGAGATGTCATCGCAACGTAATGTGACTATTAGCAAAGTGCTTCCACTTGTGAGTTGCTTAAATAATAGCATAACTTCGTACACACCTGATACTGAATTGGGGTCAAAATTAAAAGATGTAGCAGTTGCTGAATTAAACAAAAGATTTGGGAATATTGAAAAATTCTATTCATTTCCTATTGCTACATTACTTGATCCTAGATTTAAGAACCTTCATTTCAAAGATCCTGTTGATTGTTCCAAAGCTATTACAAAGTTAAAAAAATTAGTATGTCAACATAATATAATATCATCTTCTTCTGCAGATAATCAACCTGAGGCTGTCGAAAAAAAATTTGATTTGTGGGAACGTCATAAAAATCTAGCGCATCAAAAATCAAAAAAAAAATCATCAAAATCATCAAAATCAACATCTATAAATCAGGAATCAGCACCAGACCAAATGGTTATGCAATACTTAGGAACACCGGTTATAAATCTCTCCCAAGATCCTATTGAAACATGGGAAGAAATGAAGATGGTGTACCCACAACTGTACAACGAAAGTCAGAAAATGTTCTGTATTTTGGCGACATCAGTTCCATCAGAAAGGTTGTTCTCTAGGGCTGGAGCCACGTTATCAAAAGAACGCAACAGGTTGTTGGGAAAAAGGCTGTCAAAATTACTATTCTTAAACTCAATTGATGATAAATACTGGTTTTGATATAATACAAACACCACTATATGTTCATTTGTGTGCATATACAGTGTTAAATATTGTAAAAATATAATTTGTTAAAATATAATTTTTTTCCAGATTGGCATTATTATTATTATTATTATTATTATTATTATTGTAATATTTTACATTTTGGCAATTTGAAATTATGTTCTTTAGTAGGTACTGTTTTATGTTACTGCCAGTACCTAACTGTCTAACCTAATCAGTATACATTAAACAATACCAAAGAAAGTTGCTTCAATGAGAAGAAATAAAATGTGTTTAGGACAGAAAATTAAGTAATCATTTAAAAAATATTAAAAGTTGCACAACCTATTGTCTAGTTAGACTCTATCAAGTTTGACTAAGGTAGTATTTAAACATAATTATCTTTTTTAACTGAGTAAAACATTTTCTTATGACTAAAATTTTAGTATTGAATACATTGTTTATTAACTGTTTATCAACTTAACATAAATAATTTTCTCATCAACTTACTAACTGTCTAATTACCAAATAATAAAGTATTTCAACATTATTATTAGGTATATTAGTATAATATAATATAATATAGTATTATATACTATATATATTATATGGAAAGTATTTGTATTTCTTATTAAATAATTTTTCTGAATGGATGTTTTTTGTGGACATTATATTAAATTATACTATGTTAAAATGTTAAGTAAAAACATTTAAAATTTAGAAATTTATTTAATAAAATTGAATAAAAAAATTCCAAAAAACGCGATATATCGATATTTTCTGATCCGATATATCGGTGTATCGATATTTTGGTTTTCGATATATCGGTACATCGATATTTTGGTTTTCGATATATCGGTTATCGATATATCGAGGTCTGGAAAATTTTTGACATCCCTACACGTGAGCTCACGTGCTGTCACGTGTTATCACGTCACGGGAAAAAAGTGTGGCATATAGATTTATACAGTATTTTAATGTATCAGCGCCACACTTATGTCACCTCACGCGTGTCACGTCACATTTCCTAGCTCACGCGTGATAGCACGTTTTTATTTTCTAACATCACACACATTTTCGACTCACGTGTCATCACGCATTTGGTYTATTTGGAAAAATATATATAAAATATTAAAATTAAAATTTCATTTACCTAATTTAAATTAATTAATGTTAAAATGGATGAACTTTTAATCGAAAAAGTTCGTGAACATAAGGCTTTATATGACCATGGTTCCACCGATTATAGAAACCAACAAATAAGACAGAATGCATGGGAAGAAATCGGAAAGGAGCTTAAAATAACAGGTAATTAAATTATT